TTGTTAGGGTCTATTTTATGGTTACAAGAGGATACTATTATTATGAGGGATATTGGGGTTTTTACCTATTTTAGCTTTAACTATGATAACAAATACAATTTTGCATCATATAATACTATGGATGGTCGTTTTTATAATCTCTTGGTCACAAATAGAAGATTGATAAAATAAACAACAAATGCTAAATTATAATATGGAGGTTAGGGATTATATGTCATAGGGGCTTATAAATTCAACCTAAATTCTTTTGTAGGGAGGATTTCAATAATTACAACATTTGAAAGTTCAATTACTTTTTTCTAAAATACGGATAAAGCAAAATTTATTTCGTTTGTTTCTTAATGCTCAGTGCCTCCAACCTGTCTAAATCCTGTTGAATTACATTTTTTTAATTAACCTTATAATTAACATAACTTGACCATTCGCAATTATCAAGTAGATATTAAAGGGGTAATCTGTATGTTTGATTTTTGGATAAAGAGAGATTCTTATAAAATAAAATCACAAGAAGAAATCATATTAACATTTGGAGGTCTTTTTTCAAATTTAGATATATATTACTAGTTATAATTGTTTTGGACATTTTTAAACCATGATGCTATATTAAATCAGAGAGTGGAGATTTATAATTTAGTACCTGAAGATATGAAAACAACTAATATTTATTATGCAATCATATAAGTTGTAAAACCTATATAAAATTTTGAATAATGGAGCTACTTAAAATATTAATTTTGGAAAGTTCACAATTATCAATATATTCATCTTATTTTAGAGTATGGAAAAGAATACAGTCTGTGACTAAAAATTGACTATCTGTATAATAAAAGTCTGGATCAATCTAATTGTAGTTTAGAAATACACTCCATTTCCTAAACCACTTCTCCATGCTTAAAGAAGACAATACTATAAATCGACTATCTTTTACAAGAGAGTGCCAAAAGTAGGCAGAGCCTGTATATCAATTACAAAAACACTTGTTGTTATGTCTAGATTCTATGATAAAATAATGTTACATATTCATAATCAATCTTAACCCACGATTCTAGTTAAATTAATCCAAAATGATATATATAACTTGGTAATTAAAGAAGAATCATAAGAAGATGTTTAACAAAATGGTTTTGGGATAAATTATTATTCAACTAATATTTTAAATTCTTCAACTGTGTTAAAAATTATATTATTTGAATTGAAGTTAAACTCTACTTTCGAAAATCTGCCAGATTAATAACCTAATGGTTTTACTTGATCATTTTAATTTAATTATAACTGTAATTCTCCTCCTTGAGTAATTATTGTCTCCTTTATTTATAAATTAGTACTAGATTAATAGTTTATGATTTAGCAGTTATCGTTCCAAATATATCATAAATAATTACTTATCTTTTATAAGAAAATTAATATGAAACATATATTTAAATCCATTTTTCATCATAATCGAATGCATCAAATACGAATTTCGCTATTTGAATCAATTAGTCTTCTGATTGATATTAGAAATATAAATATTTTTCCTAATTAACATTTCTGTTTTTCCAATCTTAATAAAAAATACTCTATATTTAGAAGTATCAGGGTTTATCTCCCTTAATATCAAGAGCCCTTCAACTTTAGCAGATGTTTTAGAGTTCAAAAATATTGTAGTCTGTATGGATAAATATTAGAACCAGAAGCCATATCCATAGGCCGGATAATCTAAAAGTGACATCTTCGTTGTCTCAGTAATGCCATCTAGAAGGCATCCTTACAAAGTAGTTGTATTACACTGGATTGTAGGTCTAATTAATCCTATCAATAGGATGTTGGCTGCCCAAATGTAGAAATTAATCATTCTATTAATATAAAAATTATGAAAATATATCTTAATCACTTGGAAATTTTCAATTTTTAATTCAAATCATCAAAGTATATTCTAATTTTGAGAACTTTAATATTCTTTTTTAATTAATAATTATGTTTTAATTCTTGTTTTAAAAAAAGCTTTTATTAATTCAAATCACTTTTTTCTTAGTTTTATGGAGCCACTCGAATGAGCTTAAAACATATTATAACTTATAAATATTTAATTAAATTATCCTAAAGTTTCAAATACTTTACAACACATCCTTCTTATATATTTAGAATTCAATTTCCATAAATGAAGGATCATGAACACTCCACCCAAAATGAATATAGAATTAATGAAGATCAAAATTAAATTTTTATATATGGAATCTTAGTCCTATATTGAAAATAGTGAGTGCGATATTAGGATTATGATACTGATTATATTTAGCTAAATTTCAAATCTATTCATTTACTTATGATAATAGATATTATTATCTTAACAGACTTTAGTATGTATGATTAATAGAGAATATGAGAATACTCCTTTTATTACAGCATTTGCATCAATCATTATGATTATGCATATCAATCCATTTACCAATAAGAATTTATAAAATTCCCAATGTTGATAATTGTATGAGTAAGATGTAAACCAGAATCCAAAGTCTTTAAAATGAATTGGCTTTGATAAAAATAAGGTTGACTTTGACTTTTTGTAATAATAAATAAGGTAAAACTATCCAAAGGCAAGTAACAGCGGGTAAAAATAAGAAAAATACTAATCTAAGATGATTTGTATTTTTGTAGTTATTTGAAATATTTTTGTAAATCCAATACATATCTTAAATATCTCTAAAAGCAATAAGTTGAACCATAGATCTTATAAAACTTCCAAAAATGATATATATTAGATATATGAAATTATATAATTCCATCATAGTGATTTTTGGTTTAGAGATAAAAGTCTTAGCAAAACAAAAACAAATAAAAAATAGCCATCAATATTATCATACATATCAAATTTTATAAGATTTATAAGTAAAGCACACTAACTTCTAAGACTAATAATTGACATATATTAAATATTTCTAAAAATGTAAAAGGATCTCCTAAAAAATGAATTAATTATTAGACTTAATCAGAAAATACAGAAGATAACTCTTATGTGTAACTTATGATTTGAAAATAGAACAATATAATTTTTATGCTCTAACCAATAAGTGCTACCCCTAACTTAAAAATACCTTATCTATAAGGTACTTTAAACTGGTTAATATTCAAACGAATAAATTAAAGTCTTTTTTCGACAAATAATTATTATAAGAAGGTAGGCACACAAATCTTAAATTAACAACATTTTTACATTAAAATTGTGATCAATAAATTAAACAGCTATTGTTAATTATCATTTTAGCATATTTAACTAAAAAAATCCCTCTCTTTAGTAATTTCCTCCTCCTCTCTCATTATAATAATCACATTATTCACAAAGAGCCCCTATATAACCCTATTAGCATAGATCATTTCCAACTCCCCATCCTCCTATACAATTTTGCTGATTATTTAAGCACAAGTCAATGGTTGAAGTAGTCACCTTCATTCTCCAATAACCCTAGATATAAGAAGATGATTAGAATACCTATTTTAAGAATATTTAAGCTTAAGTTATTTCCTAAATCTTTTGACCATCTACAATTTGGCAACTAGTTGCTCCTACAATTACAGAGTATTATTTCTATCTACAATGCATTAGTGACAATAATCCTCTTTTGATTAACTATATTCTCCCATTTAACATTCATTAGGCTTAATCAATAAACTCAAAACATAGTTTTAGTGATATCTAATTTAAAATATAATTATACCCTTCTATTAAATGACTTATATTGTTGATTATTGGAATATAAATGCTATTACATTTAATAGTAAGTTCAAAGGTTTGATTTGAATCTGAAGGTATATAAAAGATTAAATCATCTAAATTATATGAAAATGTTGATTAATTAAAGATAATTTTATTTTTATTTAAAGATAAATTTTGTTCTTATCTACTGTTCATATTATTTATTTGTAATTCACAATAGGTATTTGTAAGATTTCTAACCATTTCTAATTATGAATTATATGCACGTAATCTCATTTACATAGTTTTTTAATTATATCTATTCTTTTCTTTTTCAAATTTCATGTATTTTGATAATGGAATTCCAGTAGGTATATGAATAATTGATATTTATCCTGATTTACTAATGATTTAAGACTTTTAACTATTTTTAGAATTTTATACAATAGTTGGTTTTATTATTTCGTCTTGAAAAATTTATAAATAGAGCTATTAAGGTTGCTCATCAATTTGATTCAATCCATAATTGGCAATCAACTCGATTCCTTTAATATTTCTATTCAAGTTGTTTTCACTATAGATGCCACTTCCAAATTAAGCTGAATTATTTGTAATAACTACATTCTCTGAAATTAATGTTGAATTATTTCCTTTTGTAAAAATAGCTCCTCCATATACTGCCTTATTGCCAACTATCAAACTTCTTATAATTGAAATGATTTAATTTTAAATAAACAAACAACCTCCGTATTAAGCTTAATTGTTGATGCATTACATATCCTCTATTCTGATAGCAGATTTAGCTTTAGAGAAATTAGAATCTTAACTTTAAAGAATATGGCTATCTTATGATATGAAAGAAATGCAACCTTTTTCTCCACAATACGAATTAGAAATAGCTATTTTTTAAATAATTATGGATGTTTTCGAGCACTTGCTGCACTTGTTATTTTACAGAATAATATCAGAAAGTTATATTTTTTGTTATTGATATTAATCTATAAATTAAAATGATATCATAGTTACTGTTGATGATTATATCTAAGAGAATAAAGTTTCTAAAAGTGTTATTTGATTAATATTAGAGAAACTCTCATTAAATTTAAAAAAGTTGAAGGAGCATCTATTAAATTATTATTACAAGATGTTTTTACGCTAATGTTTAAAATTTTTGCATTTCTTTTTGAAGGAATACTGTTTTCAGTAATATGAATTCGAGTGCAATTGTAAAACTCTATATTGTCAAGATTTATTTAATCAGACTATCTTACTGGAGAAAATAGCATTAATTGATTAGAAAAAATAAAATTTTGTATTGAAATATTCTTGAGATTTGCACTTCCATATAATTAGAATAGGGGTATAGGTGGATAATTTGTTACATGTAAATGTCTTATTTAAAATTAACAATCATAACAGTGTATCAGTGAATATTCTTATGTCAAAGTAGTTAGTTCATTATTTGATACATATCCTTGTCCATTCAAAATCATATTTTTTTGAATTATGCAATTGTTTATCTTACTTTTTGCTTATGATGCTTCCACGATTAAAATTAGGCTTTGTTTTTTAGGATTGCTTTCTTTTAATAAATTCAATAAATTCTAGGAGAATGAGACTTTTGTTAAATTCAAATTAAGATAATAATTAGGATTAATTGATGTTAAAGATACTTTTTCATATTTATTTACTTGATGTAAAATGTTAGAGGAAAAATTGCAATTGATAAATACAAATTATGAGCTAATTTATGACAGCATTTGAATTTCAAATAAAACTGAATCATATAATATAATATCAGTGATATTTGTATTTGAAACATAAGTAAATTAGCTATTTTATAAATTCATAAGGGTATTGTACATGAACTAATTGAATAGTTGTATATTACATTCTTAATTATTAAATAGACTTTTAAAATAATACTTTTCATGCAATATTATTACAGAGTTTAAAAATTTAAAGGTATTCGCATTCTTAATAGTAAATTCAGAGTAGCCTATTCCTCTCTGAATCATCAAAGTATCAAAAATAACAGTATTAGACTCAATATTGATTATGGACAATTCAATGTTCTTATCAAGAGAATCTTTTTAATCATCAATATTAATAGCATTGTTGATAAATTCTATATTATTAAGATATACAGAATCTGAATTCAATAATAGGATTAAAGCATGTTTGTTTGAATAAACATTCTCTATGAACTTACCATTTTTAATTTATATTAATTCAATAAATCTTTAGCTTTGATTGATTAATAATGTGGATTATCCTAAAAATGAGAGTTTTGAATTTTGAATTCTATCAAAAACAGAATTTTAGAACTTGATATAAAATTTGAATTTTATAAAGTTGAATCTAAAATTGGGAATCCATTTAATTCAGCTTTTTAAATTTACTCAAAATTTAAAAAACTTGTAGTGTTTAATAGGATTGAATTTTCAAAAATAAAATTATCTATCCTTAAAATTTCAGTTTATAAAAATTACTCAATTAGAGCAGTATTTATGAATTAGGAATTTTATATATACAAATTTAATATTTTAGTTTCTACTTTTTAAGATGTGTTATAATTGATTATGGATGTATTCAAAATTTTAACATGATTTATAATGAGATCTAATGCTATTAATTTAGAATTTCTTTTTTGATTAGTAATTACAAATAAGCCATATTTAAATTGAACATTAATGTTATGTATCTATAATTTCGAAATATTAATTTCGGACGATTCACTAATTTAGATTAAATACTCTTAATAGAATATATCAGTTTAATCTTGATAGATTTTAATGGATTAAAAATCTACAGTATAACGATTGACATTATCCATTGATACATATCCAGTCTACATTTGAAGATCAATGTTTTCAATTCTTATGTGTGTAAAATTTGAAGGGATAAGCGATTGTTTAAATTAAGGGTATTGCCAGATCCTTTTAAAATTAAGTTTAATTCAATCAAGCTAAAAGTGTTTGTTTATAAATTTGATTAGATCTTTAGTTCCTTATTAAAAGAACATAGTTAATTATCTGCAATCGTAAGTTAATAAGTAACTATCTTAACAAAATTTTGATTAAGATAGAGAAAATAGTCATAATACTCATATAATGATAAATCCAGATTTTCTAAAAGAATATGAAACTTTCTTTAAATTACCTTTTATTCTTCATTTAATTAATTGAGATAGTTTTCTAAATCAATTTAGCTACAATAAATTTGAATTTGTATTACAATTTCTTTTTAGAGTTCCTAAATATTATCACATTTGATAAATTAGTGAATATCCTAATCGTAAAATAAGTCACTAGATAATGGTGCTATGCATTTATGAGAAAAGTGTTCCAAATCTTTATTATTAAAAAATGGATTGATTATTAATTTCTCATTATCAGTTCTTGGATGACATATATTACAATTTTAAGGACATTAAATGCATCTTCCATTATAAACATGGTAATGTGAATCATTAAATTAAATGCAAGAAAGACATACTTATTAATCATCAATGATTTTGCATTCCTTACAATTACTAGGACATTTTTAGATACATTTATCATAATATTTAATATAGCCATCTTAACATTCAGTACATATCATCTCAATCTCATTATTATTAAGGTTTTAAGTTAAATACGAATAATTTTCTATATAAAAATCAGATAAAATTGTGTAAATAGGCATAAGTGAGTGTTTTTGCATTCTGGATGAATCAACTTAAATGCAAGTTTTGCATTCTGAATTGCATGCTTGCAAAAGCTTGAATAATAATCATTATAATAACCATCTTCACATAAAAAGCAGCGACTATAAATTTCCCAATCCTTTCTGTAACAAATAAGACAGTGAGGAATAAATTGATTGCAGAATCCAGATCCAAGCGGCATTACATAATTGACACCAAGAGCGCAATAAAAGAGATTTTATATATGAATTGCTTGATAGCATCCACTTAATCTTTACTCAACTGTTGTAGGAGTACAAGTATATTAATATTTTCAGTTTCTAATATGGAGGCAGCTAAACAATAGATACAACCTGTTAGAATATTTTTCAATTCTTAAGGTTGAAAATCATAAATTAGGGTATTTATAGAAGTAGATCTTATGGAAAATTGAAAAGGATATATACAAAGATCTATATTATTAAGGTAACAGCTTTCCCCATCAAGAGATATATACGCATTATGATTACATTTTAAACACTTCATATATTCTTTACCAGTATATTTGTTCAATATCTTTTTACAAATTTAACAAAGTTCACCACATTTTTAACAACTTTCATTAAATAAAGAGTGTCCTTATTAACAATCTAAACATCTTACTTACTCTAATTGTTTATCTAAAGTACATGATAAGCAACCCTAAGGACATTGTTAACAATGATTATTTTTTAAATAAAACCCTTGATTACACTCTATACAGATTTCTGTATCTTTTCACTTAATGCAATTCAATTCACATAACTCACATGTATTATCCTTAGGATATAAATACTATTTGCATTGATAATATGTATTTAATCCATTCACATTCTTAATAATTGATTACGAATTTTTGGTTTCAGTAAGATGTTCGCATCCAGAACACAGTTCTGTGACCATCAAATCAAAATTGATGATAAATATTTCTTAGGATTGATAGTCTAATTATGGTTATAATAGAATTTAGAGTCATCAGTTCTGTAATCAATATTCCAAATTGGGTTTAAGTACCAATTTTGAGAATTTAATATACAATTTATTCAATTTACTGAATTATGACCTTGGCCGAAATAAGGGCTCCAAATTAACAATATAAATACCATTTAATGCATCCCAAGAATTTCAAGTTCTTCCATACTTCAAAGTAGCCATAACTGTACTTTTTATTGTTTTTTACTTCAATGATATTGAACTCTTTATAAAACTTTTTTTACTCGGAAACAGAGTTTAAAAAGGTTTCTAATTATTAAAATACATTACTTTGGCATATTAAACCACCTGTTTCCTCGTAGTTAGATTTACACTAACATTAATGAAGATCAGTTTACAAATATCTATTTATTCATCGTAACATGATGCACAATCATATTAGGTAGGCCCTGTGCAAATTTTACAGCGTGCATTGCAATCTATTAGATAATTATATCTTCTCATGTTAGAATCTTTTCCAAAATGATATTCTATATTTTAACACTATTTAAATCTTAAATTTGAAATCAAACCTTCAAAAGGCAATATTTGTACACTTTACTAATCTGTGAATAATGTTATTGTGGCATGATAATTAGAAAATTATTGGTAATTGTTAATATTCATCAGAAGATATTATTCTCATGTGTCCCAGCAAGATTGATACAATGAAATGTAAATGTATTGCTTATCATAAAACTTCTAAAATTAATATTTGAAGTAGCTCCATTATTCAAAGTTTTATCTAGGTTTATAAAATTATGTATGCAAGTTAAAACCTATTCGTTCTCATTTCTTCAGGTATAAGATAATTGAATATTGTCTTCTTTTATAATATAACAAATCTCTCTTTATCCAAAAATCAAACATATTGATAAACCCTAGAATATCCGCTTGATAATCGCGAACACTACAATTTCGCTAATAATATGTTTCATTAAAAAAATATAATTCAACAGGTTTTCGACTTATTGGAGGTTAACATTTTGACATAAATTAAATAAATTAATTTTTCCCCTTATCATCAAAAAATATAATTGAACTTTCAAATGTAATAATTATCGAAATTCCCCAAAAATAATTTGAGATGGAATCCATAAGGTCCTATAACGTAATATCCCTAACCTCCATGTTGTAATTTAGAATTAGTATTTAATGTTTTCAATCCAAAATTAGTTTATAAAAAATTATAATAAGCACTATTCGCTGTATTAAATTAAGCATAATTGTATTTTTTATTGGAATTAAAACTAAAATATGTAAAAATCCAACATCCCTCATAAATAAAGTCACCATATTAAATCTCATAATAGGCGACCCCATGCATTGTATTGAACATTATGGCTAGCACTGGTTACTGTGTATAATAAATTGGAAATTAAAAGAATAAAGTTTGTATTTTTCCATCAATTTGTAAATTTAGGATATGAAATCCATCAACAATAAGGCTTGAATCAAAATTTGGATTTGATTTATCTAAATAGTAATTTTTTCTTTGAGGAGCATATTGAGTCCATACACCAAATGCATATTCATTTCCTCTTACATAACTCTTTTCTTGATAAAAGTTGTCACTTCTCAATTAGAATTAATCAAAATCGGTGTATGAACATGTTGATTAGACTAACCTTAATATATAAAATATCCAAATCATATATTTATGATAATCTAATTAATATAATGGGATAATCATTAAAATAATGCTGGAAAATGTTGTATACAGATAATAAATAATACAATTCCTCATCGATTTAGATCGTCTAGCTGAACAAGAATACTATAACATTATATATAATAGGCCATATCTTTCTTTCTTTCTTGAAAAGGATCATTAAATACATAAAGATGTATTAATTTAAAATGATCAATATTGTTAAAACTATTATAAAATGGATAGATTTTACCATTTATTCCATCAGAAATAGAAGCAATATCTGCACACTCTAAAATCTTATCAAAATAAATGATTAAATAACGAAATAAATTTATTAATGAAATTGTTGAAAATTTCACTCGAGTATTGCAACTATTCTAATATGGATTTTGTTTGCTAAGAAATAGAGGTTATATCTTACCATTAATTTAAATAGTTAATTATTTTAATAATTAAATTAAGAAATTTTGATAATTTTCCATATTAATAATAATATTAAATCGTTTTATTTCTTTTATAAACTTTAATTTTATTGTAATTATGAAAAAAATTACTACTAAATTGCCAATTTAGAAATAATTTATTAGAAGTTATTTATTCAATGTAAATAAGTAAAGAAAAAATACATACTTTTTCAGTGTAGAGATCATAATTAGGATGCGATATTATAACATTGATGTTTGTGCCTCTAAAAAGACTATCCTATTCTATAAAAGGTTTTAATCGTTCTAATACTTCCATTTAAAATTAAGTAGTCTTGCCGTTTATATTTCTTATACATTTTAAAAATTTCAGTTTTATTTGGTAATTATATAATTTGTTATATAAATAGAGATTAACCAAGGTTTTATATGTTGATTATAATTAATTTTTTTTATATGAGATTCCTTGTCTAATACAAATTTACCTATATTTGGACTATAAAATACAATCTGAAAATCCAGAAAGTTGTAAATTGTCAAAACATACTTGAAATAATATGGGAAAGAGATTAAAATGTAAATGATCTCTTAATACAAAATATTATTCAAAACTGTGTAGGCTACCTTTTTACTACTTCAATGAAGTCTTCAAGAGTTATTTCAGCAATTTCAGAACATTTGGACAGTACTCAGTTAGAATTTTCGATTCCTAAAGAGCCTTGTTTTTACTTCCTTATATTCCTTATAGAGACCTTTTAATAAAAAAATCAATCTCTTCAATATCATGCTACAAAAATTATATGATGTAATTAATTTTTCTAAATCACAAATATTTATTCAAACTAATTTTATAGAATAATATATCCATATCTTATTTTGAATATAATGATTATATAATCAGGCAATATACTTTACAGCCAAATCCTTTTTTTAGCGTAGTGATATCTGGTTTAATCAGCAATTCTCTCAGTTTATCTAAAACTCTATTTAAAAAAATTCCAAGCACAACCAAGCAAATGGGAAACAAGAATTAAGAGATGCAAGAATTTACGTATATCTATGGCTGATGCAAATTTCTATGTTATTAATATGATTTTCTTACATGAAATATTAAATTGAGTTAAAAGAAAAGGATTACTATTAAACTTACAAAAAATACCATAAAAAAATGAATCATTCATAATATATTCAAATTCATAACTCCTTATTCAAAACATCCATATGGCATTATGCTAAATAACAAGTCGAAAAAAGGTCAAGGCATTCATTTACAAGTAGAATGTATATATTTATTCATTACTACTAAGATTAACATTTTACAATTAACAAAGGGCTTAAATTTATTTATTATGATAGCCAATATTTGTAAATAATTTTTAAACATTTTCATTATTGGACCTGTTTGTTTATTATTGTTAATTATTAATTGTCTTGCTCCTACTTTATTCTTCTATAATTCTAAAATCAATTTCTCAACTCCATTTATTGATAAATAGATAGAAAACAAATTCTTAAAATTAAATAAGTATAAAATACCATAAGATTATCAATATGATATAAATAATTTATTTATCCAAATCCTCGCGTTTTTAACATTAATACAATTTCTTAAGGCTATATTAAACATTTCCTCTAGTATTGTATTATCACAAGCTTCACAACAAGCCCCTAATTAGCCAATTTGACAAGTCTCATCTCCTTATCTCCATCACTTAAACAAAATTCTATTTTAACAATTATTGAATTGATTGATTAAAAATAATAATTCATTTTGTTTTCTGGTTTTACATTATATTAATGCTTAACTAAGAAATGTTAATGTTAAAATATATAGGAGTTATTCTTATCTTATCTTGAATATAATATAAATTGATTGAGAGTCCTACTTTTTCAATTAAAATAAATGAATATTAATCAAACAATATCTTCATAAAATTTTAATTAAGCTCTTTTTATAACTTTGATATCTTAACAAGAGTAATACACTCTCAAAAATACCCTCTTCATCTGCCTGAAAATCTTGGGAAGCTTATTATTAGATTTAGGAGTAGCTATATTATACACAATATATATATATCTCTGCAGGGCTTTATGTGTATAAATGTTTATGCTTGATTCACTTGTGATCTTTTTGCATCATGCCTAATATGCCGGTTGTATGCAAGTTCATGAGATGCTGGTCTCTATAATTGCTTTTCTTTTTGTGATATATTCTTGATTATAGTATAATTTTTGATCAAAAAAATACATTTGATTTTATTAATTTTAAATTCTGAACAATTTCACATTTCAGAAATGGGTATTGTAAACTAAATTTCAGCCCTTCATCTTATGTAGTATATTTCTAACTACCTTTAATGTTCAACCATTGATATCCTTCTGAACTAATATTACCCTAATATTTATTCTATGTTTCCTAAAAAGTATACCACTAGCAATACTTTTAGTGATGCACTCCCTGAATTGTATGACCTTTATTGTTTTTCTATTGATATGCTCTAATTTTTTCTACTTTGAATTCTTTGGAATATCGTAATTTAAACCTTAACCCTTAAGCACATTCGCAGAAGATTTTGTGATGGCTTCCTTGTTTCGACTATTATAAACGTTATTCTTCCTTAAAAAGTGTTCAGGATAAGCAAATGCTTGTGCTGAAAGCATAATTTGAGGCCAGCTACCTTGTAATTCATCTAGTAAACAATATACTGAAATTGGATTTCATGCATATTCTTCTACTTTCCTCAATATCAATTACTTAGAACAGCATCTTCAAATATTGCTCTTGCAAGTAAATTCTAAACTCCTATTTATCATTTATTATAATTTTTTATTAACTTGCACTTAAACACTTTTTATCTTATATATCAAGGTTTTTATGATAGTTTAATACATATTTCCAGTCATTTTTGTTCTTAGGATTAAAAAGGTGGCTTTGTACTACCTGCAATAAGTTTGTTTAACTACTTAATTAAAGGGTTTATTGCTTGAAGAAGTTTGAGCCATTATTACTATTACATGAGCCTTACAATTAAATATTCTGGTAAATTCATATTTTACATATATGTAGGTGGTGACACTGCCAATTGAGTTGGCCACTTTAATGCTGGCCTAAATACAGAGGATTAATGATGCTCCCTCCTATGCAAATTGAAATTCTTCTTGCAAACATACTGTAAATAAAACCAAATTATTGCTTAACCGATTTTGACACCCTACCTATTTCTCCTATATCCATCTTATAAATCATTTCGCTCAATCCTGTAAATTACTCTCTTAGCTTCTTTTTTAACAATAATCTTCGAAGCTTTTGGATTTAGTTACAATCTTGACAATAGCAATGTATACTAATAATGCCTTGCAATTATCATTGGTAAAGGATTTATTTATTCAAGACAATTTCAAAGGGAGTAGTGGATTTATTAAAACTAATGAAGTAATTTCCCTTACAAAACTTTTATATTAAAATTGCGATTTATGAAGCTTGGACATTATTTTTAATTACCTGATTCATAATATGGCTATACTTTCATTCAAAAAAGGAATCTTGAATATTATATTAGCATGAGGGTTACTACCAAAAGAAAATAAGTTGTAATAGAGAGATGAATCAATTTCTAAAGTATGGCAATCTACTAACGTACTTATGGGTATTATTATGACGCTTCCCAAAATCTTGCTGCTAGACTTAATATCCAAGTCTATATTCGTGTTTCGACAAACTTGTGTAAAGTTTGGTGAAAACGATTTGAAGTATTATTTTTTAAGCACATTGAATCCTCTAAGTTCAATATGTGAAAATCCTTTAAATTTGGATAACCTGAATTCCATGATGTTTGATATCCATATTTTAGTACTTATGGGATTCCTGATTTCTCTGGTTTTACGTTGTTTCTTTCCTTCGATTCATAATGTCACTTCCTACGTCATTCGTGGTGGATTAACGTATCGGAAAATCTTCTTGTTCTCTATATTATAGGGTAATTAATCCTTCTCCTGAGGAGTCACCCCAAGTTAGCTTATAGACAGACCGAGTTTCATCTGATTTCTTATCCGTCTATGTGTGGACATCTATTTTTTGTCACATTGATATTATAGCCGTTTATAAGAGACTTTTAGACTTTGCCCGTCACATCTAAGGGTGTAGATTGATTATGACCCATGTCCTAGGTCAACTTTTATTTTGGGACCAAAAATTCCCTAACTAAATAAAGGTAAATTTAATTTAATCAAATTTGTTTTGGATAGAAAAAAAAGAAATTAAAATGGTTGGATTAGGAGTTTGTTCTTAAAGGCTTTATGTTAGCTTCAAGTAAGAATAATCTTAAACAGTTTTTCTTAAATCATTTAATAGTAATTTAAAAGAACCTATACTGTGCTTTAACAGTTTAATCTGAATTTACAAAGAATATCAAACATAGGCAACAGAGGTGGTAAAAATTTTGGCATGTTGATCAAAGCACACCTCGTGAGATGAACAGAGCTCAGCAACATAACACTTGCGAATATGCCAAAACAAAACTATGAATTTTACTACCACCATAGCTAGCATTGATAATTTTATTGAGTATATCCCAATAATGTTCAGGTATTAATCAAATCCTTAATTTAATCTTGGAACATTTCTAATTTGTGTAAGTGCATAAAGTGTTGATTCTGGCATTTGCAATTTATAGCTTAGACTATTTGGTTTGAAATCTTCTGCATAAACTTTAGAGTTTTAGTGAGATAATCACTATCACATCTAGTGTTCCTCTAAATATATATTGACTATGATAATTATGATGATTAAGAAAAATGCAAATTTACAAAATAATCAAAGTAAAGATACTTTTATTCTAATCTTCATTAATAGATTAACAATTTGTTTACTCAAAGAAGTGGTGTTACTTTTTCATGTTTCTGCTAGTTCGAAGTTTTGGCAGTCAATATATCAACCTCCTTTCTGACTAACTAAGAATAACCAACTCAATAATCTATTTGTATAATGCCGAAGTCAATGGAAATTTTGAAATTTATAAGAAATATAGCATGTAAATGCACTACAATGCGAAATATCAAGCAAACTTTAAGCTTAAATAATGCATTAGAGACGATATTAGATTATAAGTCTTAAATGCCATTTAAGTGCACATAAAAGATTTAAATAGTTTTGAAAATTCTCGATTAGCTTTTAATATGCATAAATGGTATGCGAGTAAGTTACATGGTGAAATATCACGTGGCTCAAGATTCTACAAAATTTTGTTTCTGCATCTTTATTCTAGTGCTGACTCACTAGTAAAAACGTCAGCATAAGAAAGCCAAATTAGACAATGAAAAATAAATCGGGAACAACATTTTATTATCCCATATTTATCTTAGAATAAAATATATATAGTTCTATGAGGAGAAGGATTTATATAATTTATCAATAACCTTTTAGTTGGGCAAATTAGAAACACTAAACGATTTACAAGATTCACCTTTATTAATCTAGAATTAAATATCAATTCATAGGTATTTATTCTTTATAGTCATAGAACTCAATATTTTTATATGGTTATTAAGTAAAATACCTTTTGATTATATTCAAATAAAAATGGGAATAAATATCTTTAGGATAAAGGCTGCTTCTGTACTTTCTATCCCATTTACAGAAAGTAGAAACTGCCTGAATTCAAATTCAATGAATAAATTATCTTCTTTTGATTAGAACAGTATTAGTTATGATGCAGTTGGTTGGAGTGTACTTCCAATAAACAGGGCAGAAATAATAATTTCTAATTGTAAATAGCGGCTTTACTCAACAATTTTATTACAAGACAGATATCATCAATAAAGAATAGAATGTACGGGAAAAATTAGCTATAAAAATTGTGAGAAAGCAAGCTATCAGATAAATAATCTTAATTGTTTAACTATAGTTAATATTAAGATGCAGGACTCAAAATTTATTCCCAAAAAAAAATCTATAATTCAGTTGCATTTATTTATGATAATCCTCTGAGATTTTCCTCTCTTTATCGAATTAGATCATCAAAATAAAGAAATACAAAAACATGGACCTCTAGAATTAAGAAAAAGTTGAGTATGACGAGCAATATCTAACTTAGAAGAATGCAATTAAGGTTATTTAGTTTGAGGTCCATACACCATTTGGAACTAAATAAAATAACTTTACAAATTAAGAAAAATTTTCATTAGAGAGCGTAATCTTATTTGGAAAAGCATATTATCTAAAACTCTTGTGCAGCAGTTTTTTTCAAATACTGGGTAAATTTTTTACACTATAATTATTAGAATGTAAAAACACCTCACCATGAATTTTTTTAAGCGAGATTCATGAGGCATTCTATTACTAGGCCTAAACTTTGAAAAAATTTACTTTACCCCCTAAATCACTACAACAGGGATATTTGATTTCTTAAGGATCTGTATTTTGTGACCAGAATTTAAGCGAGGCAACGCGATTATCACTTTCTAAATGTAATTCATTTAATTCATAATAAATAATTTACAATTTACAATATAAATTAGACTTCATTGATACAGCTATGTCTTTTCTTTTTATATTTTTCTTTTTCAACGCTATTATTATCATATTTAAGAAAATAATCAATTAATTGATTTATTCCTTTTTAATGGATTATTGAATCATGAATTTATTGTAGTAATTCCCTGCACTGCAAAAATTCATTTAAATTTTATAGTGTGAGCTAAATTACTCCATTTACCAAATGAGATAATGTTTAAATTTTATAAAATTAAATTATAAATTCCATAATGATAATTTAAGAACGGCATATAAAGTTAAATTTTAACATAAAAACAGTTAGATCCATAAAGGGCAGCGCTTTTTTGAAAAACCGTATTCTTTATCTTGATAATAATTAATTTAATCTTCATATGTGATATGCTGATATTGATAATAAAAATTTTAGGTTCAAAAGATTATATTACCATTTAGTATACAAATCTGAAATTTCAATTAATGCATGATAAGTTTTTAGCAAGTACGATAAATGTACTATATTAGCTGACAACTGCCTGATAGATTTTATAAAGTTATTCTTTTAACTTAAAAAACAATAATCATCATAGGATTCATATTTAGTGTAAAGTAAAATTTTGCTAACTCAATCTAAGTGAAATCAAATTACCAAAACACTGCTCAAATGATACTCAAATCTACGCTTATTAAATGATTAGTTGGAAGACCTAAACTTGACATTCGAAACTTTGCCATTATGAATGATGATTTAATAACATCCAAAATATTATTATGATTTACCATTCCTTAACTATTTATTCCTATGAGATATTGAATTGTGCTATTGAAGTTACTTAAGATTTTCAATTTCATTTATGATTATGAAGGTTTTCAAAATAAAATAATCGATATTATTAATTAAATAAATTCCTGGTTGGAAAATGAATGATTT